CCACACAGTGCACGATCTCTCCCGAAACCCCGCCCCCAAAATCCGGGCGACCCTTCGTCATCGACACTACTTCGTCTTAAACCAACGCATTTAGCGCTTACGTCAGCAAACGCTAGTACGAGGGAACTACGGCTTGCCAATATGAGCATGTGAAGAATACGCAAATCGCTTTTTCTGGAAAGATTGTCACACGAATATAATGGCGTCGATGCACAAGTTATAAATTAAAAAAATGTTATTATGCAGAACTGTTTTATTCTGAGCGAAGGCATTCATTTCGCAGTTGAAGACCTAATGTTTCAATTTATACATGGGATATCTTGTTATTCACTTAACTGTAAATTAATAAAAATTACGATTTGTGTAACACCGACGAAATACGAAAAAGAACATTACATATGAAACTGCTCTAAATTACAAATTAAATTTTTTGTAAGTAGACATTAGCAATAAAAATTTCGTATTTTTTTCCGACAACGAAATTTGATAGCTTTGAGAGGTCTTCAGATCGAAAACTGAACATACCTTCTATTTAGTTCCGCTACGTTGAATTTGATAGTAGATGCCTCTCTTAGAAGCTATTCGTCCCATTTACCTTTTTTTTAGTTTGAAGAAAGGTGAAATTAGAATTCCCAAGATAGCCCATCTTAAAAACTATAATTTTCTGCGCGGCTGACTGCATAAAATGCTTGAACCTTAGCCACTCCTTCATGCCGCAGTCTTCAAGCCAGCTCGAACGCGAAATTGCCGAGGCTGGAGCAACTTAGTGATAATCCACATTCCTGTAACTAATTTTAGTCAACGAAAAAGCAAAATTTGTGAAAATTCACACCAGTCTCCTATTGCGAAAACTCTTCGTGCTACTTTCTACCCATGATGCAGTCCTCAGAAATCGCTTGTGCTGTCTTTGTGTCATACTGCTGTTTAGAGGAGTTAGAATCCTTCGTTTTGTATACGTCATATGAAGGCTATAGTTACGTGGCTAAGACGCCTCGACCCATTCAATTCGCTCGCGCATACCGGTGCACGCGAGCACTGTGAATCCACGCGGACGGCGCAGGCGCGCGGGCCCGCCAAGGGCAGGCCGCGGCGAGCGATCGACGGTGCTCGTGTGTTTCCGTGTACCTTCGGAGCAACCTCCTCCTCCTCGTCGTCATCGTCCTCACTCGCTCCACCCAACCCAGCCCAGGCCAGGCCAGGCCCAGCCCGTGCCGAGCCGAGCCGTAGTGGCGCGCCGGATCCACCCGGCCGGGCCAGGCCCCGGCCTCGCCCGACCCGACATGACCCGGCCCGACCCAGCTGCGCTGCAAATCCTGTCTCTCGTTTCGATCCCTCCCTCTCCATCGCGTCTCCACATCAGGTTCCGTTCTCCTACGATGCGGCGGCAGACGCGAGTCGGCGATAATCGTGAACTGTCGCACTGCCCAACCCCTCCTCTCGCTTCGTGCCGGCCCGTATGAGACAGATTTATTAAAGTTCGCTTTGAGCTAATGCTCGGTGGCAAACATGATAACTATAGACATACCCTGCGACGTCCGTTCAAACACCTTTTCCTGGAAATATTTCCTGATTTCCCTCAAATTCGTTATGCTACATTCCAAAATAGCACTCGTGGCTGCTTCCTCACACGAACTCCAACAGATATGACCTGTCCCAAAAGAAGCGTAATGCATGGTTTGTATCGTACCGTACTGTATCGTATCATTTATCGATTCACATCGTATCATGCTGTACCGAATCGAATCCTATCATATCATATCCGAACGAATCGTTGCCATGCGACAGGTCTGTTCGCTGGCCGGTTGACCTATTTCGACCATAATACATTTGTCGATAGAGCATTATCTGTGCTGTCGATGGAAAACTAGGCTACAATAGCGTCGGATTCACATGCGTTCCTAGAAAACATCGGATAATTATATTAATTTACCTCAACTTTCCTCTCGTCGGCAGACGGGATCGGGATCTTTGCTGCACTAATGACTTAATCAGATCGTCGATTGTATGTTCTTTTGTGGAAGCCCTCAACCTAATTTCATCATATCCACCATTCCACAGCGATTTAAAATGTGCTACCAAACACCAGTACTCTACACTGGTAGCTCTTTCTTAATACTAACAGAATGCCTTTGAATTTCTGTCTAGAGTAATTAAACATTGTCTTTCATTTTCGACAAGCAACTAAATAAATAAAATGCATCTTATTTTCAATTTAAAGAATGAAAAGCAGAAAGGAATAATATAAATAATAGTAAAATGTACTGCACTGGTTTCTCAGGTACACATACAAGGCAATTTTTAAGGCCGTCTTTTTACAACCAATGAGTATTGATGTTTCAAACTGCTTAGTTCGTGGATTAGACTTCACGTTTACCAATCGTCTTCGAAGGAACATAATCGCAAATCATATTACCTTCAGTAATGGAGTCTCTACATTTTTCTTCATAAAACCCATTTGAATGTACTTTCGTCTTGGCCACGTTACCACACAAGGCCAATAGCTTGGATGACGAGCGTAATGCAGCCAAAAATCTTCATTGACTGAACACAAGGCAGAAGAAACGACACAAATTAGCATTTGAAAGAGAGACCGCCATTAAAACGCGAGTAATCAAGATCTCCAATGCTACGCACCATAGAGCAAGAAACCATTTAAAATTCACCTCTGCTGACCTCTAAACTGTAGAGTAATCTCGCAAACAATGTAAACTTTTCAGTGTTATGCATACAACCACACGTGGTTGATGAACAAAATTTATTACATTTACCTCAAGTCCTTTAGCGCTCCAGATACCCGGAACTCAACCCAGTTCCATGCCTCTACTTCACCTCCCGCTCATTACGCACGATAACGGAAATAGTGCGAAAATAAAGGGAATCCGCCAAGACTGCTTCGGACAAGGTCACGATCTCGAAAAGGATTCATAATAATGAACTGTACAGCAGGAACACTGACGGAATGACTACCACCGAAATGGGCTTCTGGAGTGCGTCCGCATGAAATCAAACCGAGAAATGTCGAGGTTCGAAAGCCACTTAAGGTGGCTCGAAATGGTAAGTATGACAAAGGCGATGTCTGAAGTGGTTTGATCAGGCCTAAATATTGGAGAAGACCGGTTCCGAGAACAGTGAACCAACGGGAGGAAGAAGGGAAAATATTTGCAGAACAAAATATTCAGCAGTCCGTAGAGAATACTGGACGCCCGGCAGAAGACACGCCGAAGAGAAACACCAGTGGAGACTGTGTATTGGAGTAAATTATTCGAGATGAAGGGGGGAGGGAAGACTGATGTACCGACTGAAGAAAAAAAAAACTCCGATATGGGAACATGCGTGGGAAGGTGCGAGTGTGAGTGCGTGTTGAGTGGGCAATAATACCTCAAGCCGACAAAAACCGCTTGCGAAGGGATACGAAACACAGCTCGGAAACACGACGGGATCCGCAGTGCACTTTATTTTCGTGTCCACCCAGCGATATTAGCTTCACCGGAAACCCAAACAGAGGTAAAAAGTATACGCGTTAAGTCCACATACAGCGCGGGCGCGGCTAATATTAAATGCCAATGCTACCCAGCTTTGCATTTGTTTTCACTGGTATGAATTCCGGCGAGCAGGCGTGCCTGTGGGAGTTGCGAATGCGCGCCACGTGGAGCTTCCAAACGCGGGGGCGAAATTGGGTAGGGATTGCTTTCCTAAACTTCTTCCTTCCGGTGAAGTAACATCACTAATTTACAATTCAAATAACACGCATTCCAAATCGAATGTGTAGTTCATCTATTATTAGTAAGCTAGGGCATATATTTATTTTCTGATCGGATGTTAAGAGGGACACAACCTACATAATGTGCAGAGATCAAAGAAGAACGACGAAAACTCGAGATTGTTGTATCTCATACCCATAATAACTATACAATACCTGCTATACAAATATTCAGACTTGCACAATTATATAATATAAAAGTACATAAATAATAATCAGTATCATAATGTAAAGTATTATTTTCATTTTCCTACACTCCGCATAGTCTCTTCTCAAACATATAAGCAGCAGAAAATATTTTCCTTATAATGCAACTTGCGTATCCATGCTTTCAAGGAATTTTGAGTGCACCATAAATTCCACATGGGGAGTCTCGGATTTAATTAAACACCGGGGCTCATAGATGGAGCCCTGGCGGCGACGAAATGGGTTACCCACACAGTGATGTAGAGATCCAAGACCCTAGAACTGCGTTTTCTACATTTAGGAGCCACTCAAAAGATTACGTTCGCTTTTAGAGGAGGAAGAGGGTTTCCACAAAACAATAACGAACAATGGATGAGCTGGGATGTAAATCGAAGGCTCCCTCGAAGAATATTTTTAGGAGTTTTGTGATAAATCAACGTTTAAAAATTACATACGTTACAAACTGAAGTTTGCATACGTAGTTTCATATTAGTATCGCTGAATTGTAATTCAAGGTTCAAATTCAGAGAAAATTTGAAATTGTTAATTTTTAAACCTGTTAATATATGCATAACATTTTAAATTGACGTTCCTTCGATGAAAAGGGGGCGAACGGAATGTCCCTGAAGATAGGATTAAGTTACTAGTTGACAATTGTGACGTGATTTAACAGAAAGCAAATTTTGCCATGCCTAGTTTTTTAATGAGATCATAACATTTGCGCAGAAGCTTCTGGCCACGCGAGAGCCAGCGCCCCCCTCGCCGAAGCCGCACCCCAACGACCAGCGGCTACTCCAATGTGAAAATTCGGTCGCGAGCGCGTGCGAAGGGTCAGGTCGGGGAAGGGAGGAAGGGCGATGGACCGGGGGGGGGGGATTGAGGGGATCGAGGCGAGGCGAGCGAGGTGGTTCAGTGGGGGACGTCGATTAATTAACGCGGATGGACAACTCCGCTAACGACGCGGCGCGCCCGCAGGCTAAGTGGACTAACCTACGAGCGTTGTGCAACACCCCGCCGCAGGGGACCTTCGCAGGAAGGGGTGTGGGGGAGCGGGGGCTCCGCACTGCAAACAGGGGACGAAGTGCCAGACGAGGAATAATGCAACGGAGATTGCGTTGCACCATCACTGGCGTGGTGACGGAGATCTAATTTCTATTTAAAAAGTATTTATTTTATGGCAATATCCCGCTCAAAGTCATTTACTAATATTATTTTACAACACGGACTATGTCGATGTTGTCCTGATAATTACATGCATGAGAAAGATGTCTGAACTGTATTAATAGAAGTTGGATAATACAGATGGAATTTGAGGCAAGTATTTCAAAGAAAGGAACAATACGGCATGTCCCCACCGGGCCAACAACGACAAGTGGAATATGAACTTGTCAGAGTTCAAAAAGAAAATTAATATAAACGAACATTCACATGAGGAAAAGACAGGAAAAAACCTCGCCATGAAAAGCAGAATATGATTAAGTTATTGACAAAGAATACTTTACGTAATACAAGGCGAAAGTATGGAATATCAATTCAATATATGCGGAAAAGAAAGGAAAACGACAAAAGAGGGGAACGATGATTGGGGGAACTGATCAAATTGACATGAGCGAAAATGAAGAGGGAAGAAAGTGAGAACCAAGAAGGAACGAAAGAATTAGAAAGGGAGAGAGAGAAAAAGAGGAAACTGTGAAAGAGGGGGAAAAAAATGAGGAAATAATAGAAAGGGAGACAGTAAAAGAAACGAAAGAATTGGAGCTGGTTAATACAAATGGAATTTGAGGAAAAAGGAAGGCGAATAAGAGAGGAAAAGAAAAAGGAAAAAGAATGAGAAGAAAAGAAATAAAGATGAAATAATGAAGGAGAGAGAAGAGGAAGGATAGACGTGAGTAGGGAGAGCACCAAATATAATCCCGAGCACAGCCGCAGAAGGTCCTTCCAGATGGCATTAGCAAGACACCAGCCTGAAGTAACTTCATCACTCATCAGAAGGCAGCGGCAACCCTCAAGCCAACCCCCGGCCGACACTCGAGCGCTTCCCGCGGGAATCCAGGCGGGCCTTTGACTCGGCGCTCCCGGCAATTAACTGGGCGAAAAGGGGAGGCCGTTGTCCCGCTCTCCCGTTTCCCAAAAGCGACCGGCGCAGACGCAGGCGCTGGCGCAGGCGCCAGGGGACAGCCTCTCGCTCGCCGCCTCCGGCCCCCGGCTTCCGGGGAACTCTACCGCGAGGGCGGACGGACGGACGGACGGACGGACGGACGGACGGAGCGCCGACACATCAAGGACGCTTACGACGTACGGAACACATGTGGACGCGGCCGAGAGCCCTGTTTACAACACATCTTATTCTCTGAGGCCAAGACCAACTAAGACGTATTTGTTATTTTGAGCAAAAAGC